TAGGCACCTGTCTTGTTTGAGGTATTAATTTCTTTATTAACGACACCGTTTCGTTGATATTAGTCAATGTTTTTATTTTTATAGCATTAACATCTTTCAGTAACTGATGACTTAGCAGACACGTTTTGTCGTTCTTAACACACCTGGGAAATTCAGGAATACTCTGGGTGGTAGGTAGTGGTATTTCAAACGTATGGACCCAATTTTCCACTCCGAACGTCACTGTCTTGGGATTGGCTTGCCGGAATATTACCCCGTAATTAATTCGTTGTATAACATCAGTGGCGAAGACCATGTGGGGGCAATTAGCAAAGAATAGCAGTAAAATTATCCATAATTTTGAATATAGGCCTAGAAAAAAAAAATAAAAAGGTAAAAAAATAAGAGACGTAGCTAAGCTATATTTTTTTGTGAAAAATTGGGTGCACGCCAATAATTCTAGCACTAATAAACATAGACGAATCTATAATTGTTTAGCTTGCTACATTTCATAAAAAGAAATTAATCAATAAGGGAGGGGGGGTCACTGATGTTGTTAAACGTGTATGATTTCAAGGTAATTTCCTGATAAATTTGCTCTGCGCTGAGCGTTTTCTAGCCTTTCCCAAATTTGTTTTTCGCTCATGAAAATCATTGCGGATGTAGAGAGGAATATTCATAAATGGCTCCCACGTCCTACTGTTATCCGACCAGAGTATAAGATATTACTATAGATTGCTGCATATTTTTGTTAAACTTCGCGCTGTAAAATAAATATTTATAAAATCCCACTGCTCGTTTCTGATAATTATTTTTAAAACACGTTATATATATAAAACTCCATCACCATAAAAACGCTAAATATTCACAATTCATTTTCGCCAAATGAGGGCATCACAATTAAAAACACAGATTTCGACGCACCAAGCAATATCACATTTCACAAGCGTTTAGTTCCCAAACTGACGCTCCATACTTAAATCTTTCTTCGCTCGATGTGGTCTTCTTCGCCATTTTGTATTCTTTTGATTTATTTCATCTCGGCGATCCCTATTTCCTTTGCTTCCGGAAGTTGCCATATTGTTCTGTCATGCGCATACTACACTGGTTATTTTCGACATCAGTCAGGATCTTAAAACATCTCCCCAATTATAAAAGTGTGGTTTTCGGTGGTTTTTAATCTGAATATAAGAGAGATCCAATATTGTCGTTTCAAAGTAATTTATTAAGTGAAGATAATCATTATTCAAATTCAAACATTAATAACAATATAACGTAAATACTATGTAAAGGATGGTGTAGCTTATAATAATATATATACATAGGGTGGTGTAGCATATAATAACAATAATAATATATGTATAATTTCAATGTAATACAATAGAGCTAACTCGCTTGTGAAGAGGTACAAGTTACTGATGTAGAATTTCTTAAATGTACGATCCTTATTAAATGTAACTAATAAATATAACTATTAAATCTTTATTAAATATAACTATTAAATCTTTATTAAATATAACTATTAAATCTTTAGTAAATATAACTATTAAATCTTTATTCTCTATTTAGCAACAAGTATTAATCGAAAATAACATATACCGTACTTTTTAGTCACTAATTATTTCCACTAATCTAAATAACACATTTCTTTAATAAACAAGTAATCTATCGAATATATAGTACTTTTCCGTCTATTAAAAATATATATTGTAAAATATTCGCTAGAAGTTAAACAAGTAATAAATCATGTAAATCCTTACTTTTCCGTTTAATTTAGCGCGAACCATTTCTAAATATTTTAGACATTAATTATCTGTTATTGAAACATATTTAAACAAACAAGTATTTCGTCGACAAACGTACTTTTCCGTTTTAATAAATATATATATTGTAAAATATTCTCAAGTAATTAAACAAGTAATGAATCATATCAATTCTTACTTTTCCGTTTATTAATTAATATTTTACGTAGATGTAGAAATATCTATTAATGTAATACTCGATTCTACTAATCGTATTGATCCGATATAAAAGGATATAATTCTAAGTCAAAGGTTAGAATAAAATATATATAAAGTTTAAACAATCAAAATTTACATAGAGGCTTACCTGAATATAAGAGAGATCCAATATTGTCGTTTCAAAGTAATTTATTAAGTGAAGATAATGGTGAAAGTTTAGCTAGATATATTTATATCTTCCAAAAATCCCGGCAAATATTAGAGATGCCACGTGTTGGATTAATCTCATATTTTGATTGGTGGAAGACCATTTACGGAAGACGCCCATTACTCGATACGAAATCTGATTGGCCGGATCTAGACTCGCTTGACTTAATATGTCAGGTAACGACAACCCGAGTAATAGCGTCAGTGTAATCCTAGGTATTGTTTTTAAAGTTAAAGCTGTCACCATTAATCTTACTTAATTACTTTAAAATAAACAACCAATAAAGGACCCTCTATTCAAGTTCTTCTATATCAGTATACCATTATATAATATGCTTAAGATCTATTGACACCAAATCAGCGTCAAGGTTGATTTATGCAATATAGACTCGACGTCTTTAATAAACATATATACATTTAAAATAAACTATATAATCTATAAAATATACATAAGAATAAAATATCTAAAATAAAATATATTGCATATTTTGTCAATGTACACTGTTACAATATTAGCGACTTGGCTCCTTTAAATTGACCAATAAGCCGTGTTTGCAATGTCGAAGGATGTGGATGATTATTGAGTTAGCGACATGCCTACCAAGGAGTAACGTATCCTTCTTGCTACAACACTGGCTAAGAATTCTGATATTGCCTTGAGTTTTGTCCCGGGACAAAAAAACGAGGTCCTGTGTACCCGTTGGCGTACATGTAAAAGAACCCTTGACAATTGGAACTCGAAATAAGAATAGGTCGTATAGCGCCGCTGTTCGGGTAAAATACCACTCAGCAATTTGCGATAACAATATGAAAGTGGCGATTAAAATTTGATTTTGGCGATAATGTTTTGCAGTACTGGCGATTCTTTTTGAGAACTGGCGGAAAAAATCTTAAAATTCTAATCGTATTTAATTGAGTGTCAATCACGTGGCGGAATAGGCCTACTGTAAATTAATCAACTAGCTGATAACCCGGATTACGTCAATGAGTAATACTAATCAGCTGTCTTGAATTAATGATTAGTTGATTGATAATTGTCAATGATATAATATAAAGCCTATCTCAAGTCATTGTTTACTCCTACTGATTAATCCAAGCGGTGATTATTTGATGTTTCGTTTCGTCATAAAAAAATGGTACATGTAATACATGTACATGTAATCAAAATGGCCGGCAGTTCGTTTCGAAGAGAATTAAATATTTTGTAAGTTGAATTCCGTTTACTCTGGCTTCATGTAAGATATACAAGCATGCCGATCGGATATCATTATTTCAAATTATATTATCACCACTGGTCGAAAAGGTAAGAACGAGTTGAATAGCGACGATTCTTGAGCGAGAAATCATTTCGCCATATGGCGTATCATAATTACCGTCGCCAAAATGATCTAAAGGTGAACGACGGGTATAGATCTAATTGTAAGCAATCTCTTACAAATATAATTGAAATTTGTATCATTCTATCAGGGATTCAGATTCTGGAAATAACTGTAGGCCTATTGAACACACAACACATAAATTTATAGAAAATTGGCAATCCTTGAATGAGATCTGACGTGTAGATACTGAAAATATATTGTGCAGTACGGTGTTCAAATAAACTAAAGTCACCCAAAAAAATCTGATCTTATTAAATCCAAACTATGCTAATGAATTTATATACAGACAGATTATTTACCGTTGTTGTATTGTATATATCGGTAATTATTTTATAATAAGCCTACCCGAGACATAAAATTTGTTTGATGTTGTCTTTTTTATCACACATTTTTGGCAGATAAAATATTCCATTGGCGGAAAAAAAATATAAGTATTTTTTTATATAAAAATGATTATCCATTTTGGCGGAAAAAAAATGAAAGCCAGTGTGAGCCCTGCCACACAGCATGGTGTGTATGTCCGTCTTCATTTGACCGGTTGGTGCAGAATATAAAAGTAGGACGCTGAACATTATTTCATTTGACCCATTAATTAGGATCGGCATTTAATGACCATTATTAAATAAGAGTTCTCTCGACAATATTGTATATTAAATGGTTTCTTGTGGAAGTTCTTGTTTCTACCTTGTATTGTCTTCTTTCCTTTCAGTTCCCTAAATTCAAAATGTCGACTAAATAATAGTTTAACTAATAAATCTGGTTGGTGTATTCAAGGACCTTGCAATACGCGTATAACACATTATAGGCGGATCGCTGGCTCGCTAGAGGTCGAGTGTTCGATGCCTGCATTGGCCGAGAAGAGAAAGTTCATCCAGATTTTTGCGGCGTGCCCCCCCCCCCCGTCAGTGATACTGGGCGGAGGGGGGGGGGGCTGACAAGAACAGCTGTCTAGTCGTTCGGATGGGACAAAAAACCGAGGTCCCGTGTACACATTGGTGTGCCTTGACGGTTGGAATTCGATATAAGAGTAGGTCATAGTGCCGCTATCCGGGCAAAATTTTCCTCATAGCACACTGTATGGCGTATGCCCGTCTTCATTAGTCCATTTCGGACGTTAAGCCCCATTTCATTTCATTTTATTTCATTTCGTATCATAGATAGGCCTATAGTAAACAAAGATATTTCTTTTAAGTTGAAAAATCATGAAAAGTAGCCCATGTAGAAAGCAGGGTGGAGCAGTTCACACACTAATATTTATATAACTATTAATTTAATCAATATGATATGATGTCATTTCAAGGATTAGATAATATAATTCACTAACAAAGATAAAAGTATTAAAACAGTAGCACGTTAGTTAGGCCAAACAGGCATTACGATCGCAGTTTAAATTATAGTAGCCTAACCTAGATTTAGTCGTTAATCGCCTCTGTAGCTAGAACTGTCTAAGTCTAGTCTTAGCTTAGACCGTATAGCAGCCAGTAGGTGAGTGAACGCTGTTATAAATCAGTGTAGCCGCGGTCTCGTTTAGTTGTTTGCACGTTACACAGCATGGTTAACAGATATGTTGGGATGTGTTGGCTATTGATATCAAACTAATAAGCAGGGCAGTGGAGTGTTTAATGGCGTTAGTCACAATTAATTTCGCCCAACAATAGGCGAATGTATAGTTGTTGTTGTTGTTACTTTGGTTCTTCTATGAAACTCCATCGTGGCCATTGCTGTTACAATTTCAACAGATTATCATCGTTTCACTTTTCTTCGTCTTCGTGACCTAGTTTTCACTGATAGCGAAAATGTTCAAGACTCGTCGCGACCGAGCAGCGAACTATACGAACTTTGAGCGGGAAACTCTGATTCGATTAGTCGATGAATACAAAGACATCGTCGAAGACAAACGAATAGACACTCGATCTGCTAATGTGAAAAAGGCAGTATGGGCGAAAATTATGGAGAGATATAACAGTGCGAAATATACGAGCGAACGAACCAGCCACCAACTTAAAATATGTTGGAAACATGTGAAAGCCAGAGCCAAGAAAGCAGCCTGCAAGGTCAAGGACGATGGATATAATGAACCATTTGGGCAAAACCAGGATCCCAACAGTTTTGATGAAGATCAGACTGTTTTAGCAATATTAGCTGAGTGTGAAAAGAATAAGTTAACCGATTTGGCATACGAAGATGATGTACCGGTTTCATTCAACAATTACGGTATGTAGGCCTACATAAAATATTTTCTCAAAAATAGAAATGTAATTGGGTTTAACGTCCTCCCTGTCCTCCTACGACTGGGCTAATGAAAACGGGCATAAGCCATGTAGTTTGCATTGAGGCATATTTAATTGCACAGACAACGGTGCTATGGTCTACGCTTATATCGAATTCCAACTGCCAAGGGGGAGCCACGGTCGCTAGGTGGTTAAGACGCTGGCTCGCTAGCCTGGAGGTCGGGTGTTCGATCCCTGCATTGGCCGAGAAAGTTCATCTGGATTTTCCGACGTGGTTTCCCCTTGTCAGTTGTGCAGAACGGAGGGCCTGACAAGGACAGCTGTCTAGTCCTTCGCATGAGACGAAAAACCGAGGTCCCGTGTATACATTAGAATGCACGTAAAAGATCCCTTGGCAGTTGGAATTCGATATAAGAGTAGGCGATAGTGCCGCTGCCCGGGCAAAACATCCCTCATAGCACACTGTGTGGCGTATGCCCGTCTTCATTAGCCCAGTATAGGAGCAGAACAGTAGGACGTTAAACCCCATTTCATTTCATTTCATTTCCAACTGCCAAGGGTTCTTTACGTGTATTTGGGACCTCGGTTTATTGTTCCATCCGAACGACTATCTAAATTAAAAGAACGGTAGATTGTATTTATCAAAAGTATATTACTTAATAGACAACAGTGTTGTGTATATAAGTCATTCTTAATTGGTAGTCTAGACTATAATTGTGTATGACATTAACCGACCCTACCCTACATGTAATTAATAAGTTATGCAGTCATTGGGATATACAGAATACGTGCATGAGAAAATCAGAAATATAATAATCAAAGGATTTTCGGTGGAAAAGTGGATTATTTTGGGTCAATATTTTTCGATGATTTCGGACAATAACATTACATCCCTCGTAATCATTCAAACTCCAAAGTTGAACATCCAAACTATCTTCAAATCCTGTGACTGCCGGGCAAAACGTTGTCGTCAGTTGACGTTGCCACATTAGGGATCACTGACGCGACCCCCTCTTGCACCCTCATTCTGTTGATGTATAATTAGTTCCGTTCAATACCTTTTTTAGATGCCAGTTTGACTGTTGATGAAAGAAGTGCTGATGGAAACCAAGAATATGTCCAGTCAGACGCCAATTACGTAATACCAGACGAGAGTCAACAAAGTGTATCCGAAGTTTCGTACGAAATCCAGTCTTCAAAGAAAAGAAAACAAGATCCCTCACCGGTTGGCGATTCCAGGAAACTCCGAAATTGTGAAAATAAAATTACAAATTCGACAGATGCAGAAGACAATGAACAGAGTAGCACGTGCGACACTTCCCTGCATTTTTATTCTGCTGATAGTGATGAAGATTCCAAAAAATACAGATCGGCCAATTATACGAATTCTGAGCGCGAAACTCTCATTCGTTTGATTGACGAATATAAAAACATCGTCGAAAACAAAAAAACAGACACACAATCAGTTGCAGAAAAGAAAGCAACTTGGGCGAAAATAAACGAAAGCTATAACAATGCAAAATATACGAGCGAACGAACCATCCAGCAGCTTAAAGTCTGCTGGAAACATGTGAAAACTCGAGCAAAAAAAGCGGCCATTAAGGTCAAGGAAGAAGGTTACAATGAGCTGTTAAAGCCACGGTGCAATTTGAGCAGTTTTGATGAAGATCAAGCAGTGTTAGCCATATTAGCTGAGTGTCATGAAAATAAGCACAATGATTTGGTATACGAGGATGACATTTCTGTTCCATTTAACGCAGATGGTATGTATTGTATATTAAACAGATTTTGATAGGAACACTGTATTTAAATATAAGCAAACACAGGTTTTATTAATCTGCTATAAATTCTGTACAATTAGTAAAGTTTATATTTCAGCCATTGGTTTTCGCATAATATACGAGGTCCGGTGTACATTAGCGTGTATGTAATGAACCCTGGACTTTTGGAATACCTGTCAAGAGTTGGTTGTAGCGCCACCGCCCTCAAAGCATGCTGGTGTATATATACAGTCCAAAATCCTATTCAATTATAATTGCCATTATATTTATTTCTTTATTTTGTTTTATATAGGACCGGATTTCTATAATTATGTGAGGGTTTTGTATTTCAGAAACCAGAATCAAAACTGAAAACACAAACGACAGCAGTGAATATGGCCAATCATATTCAACCCACGTGCTACCACATGAAGTTCAACAATCAAGCATCTCCAAAGTTTCGTACAAATTTCATTCCGCAAAGAAAATGCCTCAAATCGTTACACCGAATGACGATTCCAGAAGAATACGTCATTTTGAAAATAGTGGTACAAATTCTACAACAGACAATATTTCCCAGAATTCCTCGGGCGAGACCGACTTCCGGTACCATCCTTCAATAAAAGAGTACCAGACTTCTGAAGACGATGAAGATTCAAAAACAATCCGACATTATAGAAAAAAGGAACATCGCTTAAAAATGAAAAATCTGAAAAGACAGCGTGAAATGATGGAAGAGGAGCATGCCTTAAAAATAGAACTTTTGAAAATTCAAATTCTCACTCAAGCCCCAATTATTAAATCTACAAACACAGAAGTAAATTCAAATTTTTGCAGTTCATCTTCGTGATGAGTAAAAATACGAAATGAAAAACGTGGGATTTGTATTCAGATTTCAATTTGTAGGTAAACTAGCATTGAAAAGTATAACCCTAGTCGAACTGCGATGGTTTTACAGTGTATGCTTATTTTTGTGATTCCATTCTAAACAAACTGACTGATATTTCAGATGCCCGATCGCGAAAAACCTACAAGATGTTTAAAAAACATTTAATAGGGCGATAACTCTAAAAATCAAAATCCGTATATACGACTTGCCGACTGTAGACCAAATATGTTTGAATATTTTTCAGTGGCCTTAAAAGAACAATATATCAGACTAATGTCAATGGAGTGTGGTTTAATGTTAATGTCTTGTTCAACGGCTATTTGAAGACAATGAAACTAAATATACTTTCAAACTATGCTATAAAAGTACTATAAAAAGTACGGTCTTAGTAAAAAAAACATACTGGTCCAAGTTCTATCCAACAACGACTTCTCGATCTGAACAATTTTAGATCAATATAATTTTGTTAAGGTGTCTTTCATTTTGTATTGTCTGAAACTTTTTATTCCGAATCTTTTCTGGCGTGTTGTCCTTAAATATATTTTAAGCTGCATATGGGTGGGGTTGTAAATCAATAAAATTGGCACTGATTGACAGTTACAAATTATACACTACGTACATGTATACCAATCATCAATTAAAGAAATACTATGTGGTGCTCTAGTACTAGTATATCGATTGTACGCATGTCACCGTGTAATAGGCTCTACACAGCTTTACTCTACTTTTATTTTAATATTCACGCAGTTAAATGTCTGGTAACAGTTGTACAAGGAATAGTTAATGAATAAGTAGCTATTTCCGTATCGTAGCATGGTATAATAACAACCATGGGAATTCACTGCCATTGATCCACTAATTGTTATACTATCTTCGCTAGAAGTGAAATAATTGTTATTCGTTGAAAAATGTTTAATAAAACCACTTATAAAATATGTTTTAATATAGCTCAGCTGAAACGTAACTAACGATACAAACATTTTTTAATAACACCACTCGTAGAATGTGTTATAATATTTATATTTGATAATTAACTAAGGCTTTCAACACCTTTTCAACATAAAGACCTAGAGTCTAGAAGGGCATTTAGACGTCCCATTGTGTACAGGGCCTGTGTTAAGGTTTTATTGACGAAGCACGGTTTTAGGAGATGGGCCTGTTTTGATGGGTATTTTCCCCCTTGGGTTCCGACAAAATATTCAAACCATGACTCACGATGTCCCTCACAAACCTTGATAGGCGCAATTTATCTTCTTTCGTCATCTTTATCAGCTCTACTATGTGAGAATAAACCTTCTGAAATCGTGACCAATTAATTAGTCGTGACCAAAACAAAGGCTCACAAGAAGTGTGATAAAAACTTCCTGAATTATCACCACGCCTACACTTTTATAACCAAACAAGCGGTTGTCATACACGATACGCCAAGATTTTGTAAGAGATAGACAGGGCCCACCCTCTAATTGTCCAAATGCCTCACATCGAATATGAACTTGTAGTCTATAACGCTTTCACAAGGTTTTTTGGAAAAGTTTGGTGACTCGAGATTACCCCCCCCCCCCCAAAAAAAAAACCAAAACAAAACACGGTTAAAACGAAGAACGTTCGCCACCAGCACCGTGGTCGAACACAGGGATCGAACACCGGGATCAAACACCGGACCTCCTGGTTAGTGAGTCAACGTCTTACTGAGCCAAGGTGGCTCATTCATTTTATAATTAAACCTTTGCAAGTGAAAGTTATCAAAAGTGACGTAATGTCAGAATAAAATCTATTTTCATTAAGGGTTTCTTCCTTGAAAAAGATTTTTTTTTATCACAGCAAAATTCACTAGACTGTGTGTACTCTGGGCGTTCGAAATTCCATGGCTGTTTATAATTCACCTGTTCATAGCGACTTTGTTATCAAAGACATATACACGATTAAATACTTTGTAGTGGCCAGCATTGGATGAATCCACGAACAAGGAACATGCTTTAAAAAAAATAACACAAAACACAAGTACGATAGTACAATACATGCAGATCAGGAATCGATCATGACGCCATCTTCGCCATGATAACGATACGCATTTGCCTAAGGAAAAAAATGTCGAGTTTCATGTCGATTGTACTTGAATGGGCGCAGCCTTGTAGCTTTATTCCAAGAGCATTGTCCCGGAAAGCAGATGAACAACTAGATAAGTGACTTGGGGACTAGATCCGCCTCTGAGAATGCATCAATCCCCAGACAAAAGCATGTCACATTGTACATGTTAAAATAAAAGACAGCAACCTATTTAGAAAGCCAGTTTTATTTAACTCGGTTTATTATTTATTTTTCAGTTCAAGACAATGTCTGGTCATGGAGATGAGGAGTGCATGATTGCCGCGGATCTTACCATGTATGGAAACCCATTGCGGCATCTAATACAACCTAAACCAGTTCAACCGGAAACTACGAAAGGTAGTGAAAAGGATGGACCGGACTCTGACAATTTGAAAAGTGATATAGTTGCTGCCGATTTGGTTAAATATGCCAGTCCTTTGGACGATCGCTTAAAATCACAAAAGTAGACCTTTCAAAATTAGTTTTGAGTTTTATTTTTTTTCTGTATGCGTTTTCTTTCTATCGTAGCACTTTTGCGCATCTAATACGTTTAGAAGAAGGGCGCTGAAGTGAGCGAGTCTCTTGCCATGGAAAGAACCGCAGATTGTAAATGCCAGGGATTTTATTTCTATAATATGTGCAAACCGATTAAAATGACCGATCGAGATATTTATTTGTCTGTCAACTTTAATGCCACACAACAAGTATATATTTTTTACAATTGAAATTATGATAAAACGAATACACACTCTGGCACTTCTAGTGGATGCAAATAATAACGTCTGTCCAACAAAATATTATGCAACATCATTCCATACTACGTGGGGATTGGTCCAGTACTTCTACTTAGAGCAAGTAGAGAGGTCTTAAGACTCAAGCTAATCTGTTTGTACAGACTGAAAATGGCTATATTATTATTAATACTATTATGTATTTGCTTAGAGTTGAGTTTCTGCATTATAACCGAATTCAGTAACCATTTTGACTGTATAAAAGTTATATAATTAAACAAAACATGGATGTTAGATTACTATTACTCTGTATAGCTGTATATGAAGCCATTATTAATAAACGGAATTTCGATCTACAGGACTGAAGATTCGGACTAGATTGAATTTTTTCTGAAGAACTTTTTGTTCTGAATTCAGGTTCTGCTAATATTACATCTAGTCAAATCTGCAATTTATTTTCTGGTTCTTCATTATATACACATATTAAAAACAGCCCCAAGATGAAAAGATATGTTGCCTTGCTTGCAATCGTAAAATATAGGTTGCCAGGAAATGAACCATACGTCCACAACACTCCCAAAAGTCAAGAAAGCAAAATATATTATATTATACAGTTGCCCATTGCTGAAATTCTATAGTCATCACTGCTTCACTATATAATCGGGTGATAACTTTTGTCGTTAGAGCATTCATCATACTCTACAAAATGTAACAAGGGTCATAACTCTTGAAGTAATAAACGGAAATTGTTGAAATTCAATTGGAATCTCCGTTTTACTAAATGAAATGACGCATATAAATTTAATACAGATCGGATAACATCTGTCGTTAAAAGTTACATGTATAAGGTTCTACACAGTGAAACAAGGGTAATAACGCTAAGAGTAATAAATGCAAATTGTGGAAATTATATAGGCATAATTAACAGAAATTGCTGAAACAATAAACTTCGTTTTACTAAATGAAATAACTCACAGAAATATAATACAGATCGTATGATGACAGTGGTCGTTTCTTTACTGATATCTAGGGCGGCTCCTTTAACTGTGACTTTTTAAATGAGAATTGAAAGGTCATAATGTGCACACATCTACAAAAAGCAGCGTACAGAAAATAATGTCATTTTTGAGTCGATGCCATCGTCCAAACTTGTGGATCAGCGTTTTCAGAATCCTTACTGACTTGAACGAGACAAGTAAAGGGGGTTAACCCAATTACTACAAAAAGAACTTCGTTGCACAAAGCGATCAGGATCATTGTTTAATCCTCCTAATTTTCGGTGATCCTTGCAATAATGAGATATAAACAAAGGGGTGAGGTTTCTCTTACACTTCACACATTGGCCCACTCTTATAAATATCAAAATCAAATCTCATCAAATGAAACAATATGTTGTTACCCAGTAGTGCCGTTTTAAATCCAATCCCAAGATTTAGTTAACTGCAAAACAGATATTTATAATATTTATTAACAACTGTTAATACATATGATAATATATCAAATATACAATGTAAGAAATGCCTACATTTTAATTAGAGTTGTTACCATGATTAAATTAATATAAATAAAAGTTTAATTCAAACATATTATACAAATCTGAATAAAAGATGAAAACTTAACAAATAGAAAATCATTACAAAAATGGCATAAACAAAACAAATACAACTGCCAATTAAGGAATCTTTTGAAAGATTCAATGCCTATCATTAAGTGAAAATGAACGTACCAGTACTGTACATGTACATGTATATGACAAGCAGAGATCAAAGAATTTGTAAGTGTACATGTGCATGTAGGGTACCATTTTTCAACAATGCCCCTCAAACAGGTCTCCTCCTAGATTACTAAAATATTCACCGGAAAAGGTCTATTAAAGATACATTATGGGAGATAACGTAAATAGAATATGTTGAAAATTTCAGTCAAATTGCTCCACTCTGAACCGAGATATTACCTTTTGAATTTTAAGCCTAGCCTCGATCATCATTACTAAAGTCGGTATGATAAAAAACATAGTCTTGATTATCCATTTTTGGATTTAATCATCAATGAGCATTAAGCAGCAGATCAGATTCAAATCCAGTGAAAATCTGATACATAAGATGACATCGAGAATGGATTATGGTTTGGATAAGTTAATTAATGTCTAATTAATAGTTTATACAACATTTCAGGTTTAAAGAAAGACCCACAATAGGCAGATTTAGCTTTGCATAATGTATGTTTAATACATGTGGATTACAAAGGGTACAGGGGGGATACAAAAGGTACTGGGGGATCTACCCTTTAAGATGATATAATCTTACACTTAAACAATAAAATATATGTCTTATGGTTTACATGAACACTGTGCATTAAAAATGGCAATTTTCCTCGTTCTCTAAAACTACCAAATTTTCTTAATCAAATATGTTTTCTATACATGTACATGTATTTTCTTCCTATCCAATTGCATATCAGTATACTAAAAGTCATTTCAAAAAATGGAAGAGGTATTGATTTAAAATATTTGGGGTTTAAAGAGATCTGAAAATGCACCAAAAATGAGCCGAAACTGACCATTTCAACTCACAGGCACTTGAAGGGATTAAAATAAAACTTCCTACTACTGGTATATACTGTAATATATTGTCATGCAGTAGCAGGAAGTTTTATTTTAATCCCTTTAAGTGCCTGTATTTCAACTGCATCAAGCATTCAAAAAGCACTACTCTTAATATAAGAGTGGAAAAACAATCCTGATATGAAATACATGTAATATAAAAGCACTATATATATTTTAGGTTATAACAAAAGCATAAAACTAAAAAAACACATAATTATCAACAATATTATTATCTTACACAAGCCTGGAATGAAACATCTGTCACTGATATTGACAAACACAAATTCAGGGTTTGCCAACATAATCTCTCTGATGCTGGTCATTATGTAGGACAAAAAATCTTTCTATTTACTAACATTCTTAAAGATGCATTATGTTTAATTCAGATAAAGAACTTGCCATTCTTGCTATAATAGTTCAAATACATGTATAGATAATGAAAAATGAATATTGAAAAGTTCATTCAAATTACTTTATTCTGAGCAATGTTATGAGTGTTGGAAGATGTAGTGTAGATTGTTTATTATCGTAAGCCACGATTATCCATTTTGTTGTTAAAAGTTTAAATCTCAAGGGCATTCTAATCCGTTGAAATCTGTGTCATCCGATAGTCAAAATAGTAGATTATGGGCTTGTTATGTTAATAAATATCTAAATTATATAACATTTCAAGCCAAAATAAAGACCTGCACTAGGCTTATGAACCTAATACATGTACATAATGCATCTTTAATACATGACAGACATAGAGTTAATATTGTCCGGTACCAGTACAACTAAAACTGTTCTTTCCAGGCCTGAAATACAATATAATTGTTTAAAATATACCAGTATGCAAACAAACCAATTTAATTGACATAACCATCAGATCAGATCATGCAATATAAATTTTTTAAAATTTGATTCATTTAACCATCAAGTTCTAACTCAAACAAAAAGTTATCAATCTTTCGCAATCTTTCCTGAGCCTCTTCCATGTCGCTATAATTTTGGACGAAGTTACTGATATAATAACGTATTTCGTCAATTATATCAATACTATCTGTCTCCTCTCGCTCCTTTATACTACGCGCATCCTCTTTCACAAACTCAACAAAATCGGTCTGGGATAAAAACCAAGATAGATTATTGGCGATAAATTCAGCACATTGAGACTCGAGTCTGGGTAGATTAAATAATCTAGCTGTTTGTAAAATAGGTAAAGTGTTCTGCACCTCTAGGTACTGAACCATATTCTTGGCACAGAGTCGTTTTAATCCTGGTAAAAGATACAGGTCAGCAGCACACAAAACCTCAAATACAATACATTTGGATAATTCACAATTATCTTGATAAACATAGTGCAGTACACGTAAAAACACCTGTACAGATACATCTTTAATCTTAATGACAGGTATCTCACCATTGTGACAACACTCTCCAAAATGATCTTCGACCAATGCTTTGAAATAATCGCTTCGACCGCAAAAAAACACTTTATGACAATTAAAGATGTGATCTTCAACTTGGAAGCAGACATCATGGTAAAGTAAGGAAGTTTCGGGCTCAAATGGTAGTTCTCCTGGAACCCATTTCTTCAGGGCTGTTGGCACCGCCTCATTTACAAGCTGCCCTAAATCCATCTTTAATTCCTGAGATTTATCTTGCGGTTCGATGATCAGCATATTAACTCGAACACCAACTTTCATATACTCCAATGAAAATTTTCTACGGCAGAAATCTTCGATTTTTTCTATTAGACCAATTAATCGACACTGTTTTGCAATATTTAGACAGTCATCTAGATTGTCGAACTGTGTCTCTAAGCAACCTAAATAGAGATATCTTAGAATTTTTCCAAAAGCACTGGATTGAATTATTTCGTTCCGTAGACTAATCACTCTCCGGTCCTTCCACCTTGTTTTAAACTGAATGGCAAAATATTCACTCCTGGCAGACAAAATGCATTTATGCGCTGGAAATTGCACACCATGGACATCAAAAATAACATCTTCATAACAATTTCCTTCTTGAATCTTTCTCATAAATTCATCATACATATCCCGTCGAATCAAACGTGAAGATATCATATTATGTTTCTTCAATTCGGAGCGTATCTCATCTGTCAAAGCTCCATACAGACAACGCTCTCCGTCAAATGTACTGGCTTCACATTTGGCACCATTATACAGAAGGTATTTAACCATCTTTTTATGACCACACAAACAGGCGTAGTACAATGGTGTACTATCCCACTTATCTCTTTCGTTTACATCTACTTCTTTCTCCTCCACAAGATAAATCAGATTTTGTAAATCCCCTGTCTTGCAAAAGTGAAAAAGCTTAGCAATATCCATTTTGATTTACCAAGTTAAATCGCTCTGATTATTTCGATGACCTCGAAATATTTCTACATGAAGAGGCAATATTATTGTCACGTGATTTGTTGTTTACTTTGAATAAGTCCCTTATATCATTAACAAATACAAACTTACCATTAACTCGTTAATCGTTAACGTTTATGAAAGTATTTGATTTTCATCTCTTACCATGCTATGGTTAATTTTTCACTTAAACGTATTATGTTTATTCTTCTTTTTACATTATAACACGCAATTCTCATTAATTCTCATTAGCGCTTTCCTCAAAAATATAAGCGATCGTTGCACTTAGCGACATTGCAATCGGAACTCTTTCATGTATTTCGTGGACTAGTTTTTGGACGCAGTGAGAAATGAAAGTTGTTTTATCTTTCTTAATGAAGATGTACATACTCCATACTCCATACATTGTATTATGCGGGGAACTTTGTGAAGAGAGCGGCGAACTACGTACTCTTAATTCGAATTCCAGCTGACAAATGTTACCTTGCGTGCATGCTGACATATCGGTTTTCAATTTCATACCCTAACCGAAGGACTACTGCTTTCCAGGTTCTCCGTCCTGCACCACTGGCAAGGGGAAATCACACTGGAAAATTCATTAGAACTTTGTGGGCCAACACAGGGATCGAACTTCTGATCTCCTGGTTACAGTAAAGTTTATTGATCGACGGTGAAATGAAATGAAATGGACTAACCTGGGCTAATGAAGACGGGCATACGCCATACAGTGTGCTATGAGGGAAATTTTGCCCGGACAGCGGCACTACGGCCTACTCTTATATCGAATTCCAACTGCCAAGGGATCTTTTACGTGCACGCCAATGTGTACACGGGACCTCGGTTTTTCGTCCCATCCGAACGACTAGACAGCTTTCCTTGTCAGCCCCTCCGTCCTGCATCACTGACAAGGGACAACCACGCCGGAAAATCTGGATGAACTTTCTCGGCCAATGCAGGGATCGAAACCAGCGACCAACCATGTGTTATTAAGTGGCAGATTAACCCATAACCGGTCATTGTCGACTATATATAATCACTTTCAGCCCATGGCACACTTGACGCACCTGCGCCAAGACCCCAAGGTTTAGAGAACCCTTAGAATAATATTAACAAATGCATACATTATATAATATAGAAATAGGCCTACTTGAGAACAATTTAAATTTAATTAAGATATATATCGAACTAGGCCTAAATTTATTTATTTTATTTACATATATTTCAATTCGATTATTTGCGTTTGTGTAAGATCATAAGGTCTGTTATTGAGTAAAGTGGTGCTGTACTATAATACTGGTAAAGAGTAGGGTCGCTTGTCCAACCTTGTGGGTTTTCTCAGTATCCTCCGGTTTCCTCCCACTTCTAAAGACTCCTACGCACTAGCGATTTATTGAAATAAAATTTGACCACAGTAGTCCCGAAATGAATTAAAATGTGTCAAGTGGACGTTAAACCAAATATCTCTCTGAAACGAATTAACACAACCTGTTTTGCACTATGACGCAGGGATGACTGCACAATAATTTGGCATGGTTGAGAGACTGTTGAGAGTACGGTACAGTAAAGACACGTAAACATCTGAGTTTACTGAAGGTCAATTTGTTATTTGACATGGTATTCCTAATATCACTTTTCTATTTAACCTACATTAGAAATTCAAATAATTAAAAATATGTTTTATATAATTTCAATATATACCTATCCTGTTTTGGTACGAAGGCGGGACAGGTGCCCCCATTTAGTTTATATAAGTGACCCCCACCATCATGCGTCCTGGTCCGATACTGACTATATATTTTAAATATATGTTATTAAACTTTACCCCGAGATGCAGTAACAATATGAATGCATCCATATATGGGTGTGTAAAATATCAGCGATATCCCCGGATGTGTTATTTATAGACATGAATACAGTATTTAGGTAACAAAAGAAATGTGTTTATATATTTAGTCATTTTGACACCTAGCTGGGATCTCGGCTGGAATTTAATTACGAAAATTATTATTTCTATTTTCGATTAAACGCGTAAGGCCCTTTAGAAGTGGGCGGAAACCAAAATACCCAGAGAAAACCCACGGGGTTTGGTGACCTAGAACTCTGTGCCATGTAGACTACATTCCTGGGATAGAACCAATGACGTGGTTTAAGCAATTTAAAGGTATCATGGTGTAAAAAACATACCGCTTAAACAATATAACAAGCGGTTGCCATGCAAGATACGCGCACATTTTGCAAGAGATGGACAGAGAACAAGCTCAAAAAAAGAAGTGATTTTTCGTACAATCAAGGGCCATAATTCAGGAAGTTACAATCCGATATGCATGAATATTGAAAGGAACCAAGATCTTTGGGTTATAAACATGTATTTCAAGTTACATCAAAATCAGATCAAAATTGTGTCCTCTCTCTAGAGGGTCCAAAACCTTGATATACCATATATTTACAATATTTGCGTACAAGGGGCAGCCATTTTGTCCGACAGTTTTGGTCCGATTTGAACGAAATTCGCACTCATCCATCATAAGGGTGTAACAGTGATATATTCAAACGTTTTATTTTAAATCGGATAAAAATTGTGACATATAGAGGGATCACATCGTAAAAACGCGACTTTTCGCACAATCAAGGGCCATAATTCAGAAAGTTATGATCCAATATGTGCGAATATGGAAAGGAACCAAGATCTTTGGGTTATTAATATGTATTTCAAGTTTCATCAAAATTGGATCAAAATTGTGACCTCTATAGGGTCCACAACCTTGATATACCATATTTTTCAGTTTGAGAACGAACGGCGGCCATTTTGTCTGTCAATTTTGGGCCGATTTTCACGAAATTCGAACTCAGCCGCCCTTAGGGTGTAACGGTGATATAATAATACGTTTTTTTTTTTAAATCGGATAAAAATTATTGTCATATTGAGATGTTATATAATATATATTAGTTGTCTGAGTCCATTAAGATAAATGGAATTACTTCCCTTTAGTTCTATGTTTTTATTTTGTATTATGTGCCTGGATAATAAAGGACTACTTGTATTACAAGATGGTGAACTAAGAACTGGTCTTGTTATTTGTATTATCTAATCCAACACCATCCTCCAATGCACTGCACTTACCGATCCCAATATAATATGGTGGAAGATGCCAGGTTTTCTTACTCTGCTGTGCAGTAATTTTTAGTACAATATAATTTAACAAATCATCAAATTTTGAGACCAGAAAGAGACAATTTAAATTTCGAAAATAGAAGCCACATGCTCCAGAAGCCACATGCTCCAGAGAATCCAGATATTTAATTTTGATTCAACAAAGTGAATTTCAGCTAAACTTTTAAAAAAAAATAGTTGAAGGAACTTGGTAAAAATAGTACATCGTTTGTGCAGTTGTCTCAACCAGTTAGTTTAAAATTAGGAAATGGTCAACTTATTCAATGTTATCAATCTACACAAGTTGAAATTGTTATTCAAGGTCATCAGTTTTCCTTTAATGCATATATAGCTCAGAATTTACTTGGTGTTGATATAATAATAGGCCAAGATGTATTGTCCAATTTAGATAGTACACTAAATTTTAATACAAACACCTTACATTGTAAATCCACTTATCAAACTAAAGTTTTATTTCACCCTACGTCTAATCTGTGTGTAAAACCAGGAGAACTTAAGTACATTACAGTACAAGGGAAAATACCATCAGTATTTCGTGGTCAACAGATTTTAATGTACACAGGTTCATACTTAAATAAATCCTGTCCTTCAACATTTATTACATCATTAAATCGCAATAAGTCAATTATTCCAATATGTAATACTAGTCATAAACCCATTCATATTACAAAACATCAAAGTTTATTTTACACTTATTTACATGATGTACAGTCATGTGATAGTATTAATATAACAGTCGATTCAATAACAAATAATTTTACATGTTCAGAAACAGATAAACATACATTTACTTCATGTATAGATTTATCACAGTATATTAAGTGATACACAACAACAACAGTTTTATAACACATTGTTCAAACATAGATCTACATTTAGTTTAAATGGAGAAGTTGGTTATCGTCCTCATATTCAGGTTGACATTGAAGTTAACAATGTAGATCCATTTTATATACGTCCATATCCAAAAACAGAACCTGAGAAAAAGATAATTGATAGTGAATTGCAGAAATTAGTCAATCTTGGTATTCTTGCTATAGGTCACCAGCCGTACACGTCACCGATTTTAATCTTGCCGAAAAAGGGTACTACCGAGAAAAGGGTAGTCGTGGACTTCCGTCATTTGAATTCTAGAATTAAACGGTACAATCATCCTTTTCCACTCCTTAGTGAATCATTAAAGCGTATTGGTAACGCCTCACCTCAAGTACTCTCATGTATTGATTTAAAGTCAGCTTTCTTTAGCCTTCCATTATCTCCCCATGCTCAGCAATTTACTGGTATATCATCATATGCAGGCGGTAAGCATTACTATTTCAAGAGATTAACGCAAGGTTTAAGTATATCACCGGCAGTATTTCAGTCTACAGTTGATGATGTTCTTTCTACAGTTCCCAATAGTTACGATTTCTCAATTGCTCATCACGATGACATTATTTGTTTTAGTTCAGATATCGAATCTCATCTACGTCATTTAACTTCGTTATTTACTGCTTTAGAGGAATATGGTCTTCGAATTTGTCCAAGAAAATGTCTGTTTTTTCGCCGCTCTGTAACGTACATGGGACATAATCTTTCTATTGACTATCCATCCTTTCTCTGACCGGTGTAAATATATCAGAAATTTGTCCATTCCTAAAACTAGTAAAGATGTAAAGCATTTCATCGGTGCTGTCACTTATATAGCTAATTTCTTACCTAATATTCAATGTATTCTAAAACCCTTACATATGATAGCCAGAAAACAATCTAAATTTCAGTGGACAGAATCTCAACAATCCGCTTTTTTACAGAGGCAAGGAAATGTTGCTTGAACCACCTGTATTGTATACTCCTTCAGGAACAGGTTCTATAAAGTTGTACAGTGATACTAGTAGAATAGCTACAGGCTCGTATATTACACAGTGTATA